CATGAGATGTAAATGGGGTCCACTAGAATGGATCCTGTTTTGGATTTTTATAAATTAAGAGTAATAAATAAAGTGCTTTTGTGCCAAAAACTTTGAAACTAAATTTGAGGATGTTTTGACTGTGCAACACCATAGTGGATTATCGATTCATAATTTGTAACCTTAATTTAGATGAAATAATGTCAAGCGCTGTACCAAAAAAGAAAGTATGGTATCCACCCGTTTATATGGTAAAACTGCATGTGAAATCTACTAAATGATCAAAAATGCATACAGAGATAACGTCATCGTTGATCGAGTGTTTTGAACTGGCACAAGTTCTTTCACAAGGGAAGAGAGAATGATTAACGCTCAGATCAGCGCTTCAAGAATCACAAAAGTCGAGGACATGGTAAAAACGAAAATCTTTTGAACTCTGGCCGCAGATTGAATGGGCATACGGAGGACAGTCCTTGAAAGGCTGTGAAAAGGAGTCTCCCATATCTGTGTAGCAATCAGTGATTCCCGGATGCTTCACTAAAAAAATGGACCGAACGACACTACTTTCGCTAGCTTGGATTGCCTGGCTAAAGGCCTTGCCCCAACGTTTCCCCTATTACCCTACAGCTCATATGTCGCTTTAGACTTAATCCTCCTCCCAGGTTCAAACGAGTTATAAGAAGACCGCACCACGGCTCGATCCAGGTCATTGGAGGGGTGTCTGAGTTTAACAAATTTTGACAAAAGTTTTCGCGAACAGTTGCTGAATTGGTGATTGGAGTTGGTTTCTAACGTTTCGCTAGTAAGAGTGGCGAATTTCATCATCCAGCATCGGAGATGGAAGGACCTCTGTAGAAGCTCCCCACTCGTGCTAGTAAAAGGTTAGGAAGCAACTCAAATCCATGACGATCTTTAAACCTCAATCAGGAAAACCGTTTGTGCGTTTATGTTTTCAGAGTCGCTGGATGGAAACGGATCTAATTCGAAGACTATCAATGCGATGTACCGATCATCATCATCATCATAAGGTCGTCAGTCCTAAGACTGGTTGGACACGTACCTCCACTCTTTCCTATCCTGAGCTAAACTTCGCATTTCCCTGAAACTAGAACAGCCCACATCCTTGACTATTTGCGAACAGTAATCTAATCTAGGTCTACCTCTACCCCTCCTAACTCCTGTTTCTGCCTCTAATATGTCTCTGACTAGACCTTCATGCCTGAGAAGGTGTCCTACCAACCTATCTCGCCTATTTTTTATTGACTTCCATAGAGTCCTCTGTTCTCCTATTCTTTCCAATACCTCTTCATTTCTAACCTTTTCTACCCACGATATCCTCATCATCCGCCTATAACACCACATTTCGAACGCTTCTAACCTTTTCTTTTCCGCCGCTCCCACTGTCCATGTTTCGCACCCGTACAACGCCGTGCTCCAAACATACACCTTTAACAACCTTTTTCGAATTTCTAAATTAACCGTTCGCGAGCATAGAAGTGACTTCTTTTTATTAAAGGCGACACGACCCTGCGCTATCCTCTGCTTTATATCCCTACTACTCCTTCCATCCTCACTTATCTGACTTCCTAGGTATCTAAAATCAGCCACTTCTTCTAATTTTTCGTCTCCTATCTTTATATTCGCTCTTTCCCTACTTTTTCTTCCCTTGCATATCAGTATTTTAGTTTTACTTTTATTTATTTTCATACAGTACTGATCTGTCAGTACCGCTTCCATTTTATTTAAAGCTATCTCTAGGTCCTCCTTGCTAGATGCTAATACTGCTATATCATCTGCAAATCTAAGCATACTAATCTTTTGCCCTTGCACATCTATCCCTACAGTTGTACTGTCTTTAATGATGTTGATCGCGTCTTTGATGTATAGATTAAAAAGTAGCGGTGACAGTGTGCATCCCTTTTCTACGTTGCATCCCTACCGTACCGATGTGCCGATATTATTAATTTTTCTTTTTTAATTCGGTCAGACTCTGCGTAATTACATTGAAAATGACTATAGCAGTACCCTACTATATTCGAGCGTATTTTCTGTATTACAACATTACAAGCGACTTCAATGTGTTGTTATCATTACATTTTGGATTGATTCACACAGACCATAACGATGACGTAAATGCAATCTGTAAATAATTTTACGGTATACTTCGTAAACACTTTATAAAGTCAGGCTGCATTCGATTACATTCGATTCGCCATAAATAAATATAATGTTTCAAAAATAGTTTGTGTTCAATAAATTTGGTGCAGTGCTAAATAATAAAATTTACTGATGAAAACCTGAGATCGTTAAAATGAAAGCGGGTTTTAAAGATGTAAAATTTTGCGGTTAAGAAGCGCGTTGTTTACGATGATGGGTCTTTTCCATATTACAAGCAATAAAGCATGCTCGTACATCTGTAAAACGTAAAAATGTAAACAGGAAACTTTATAGTCAATAAACATTTGATGCTCGTTTCGTTGGGCGATGCCGAAGCAGTTGAATAGGCTTTGCATTTAGAGGTATTCTCCATGTGCATGTCGGCTTGTCACGATTTTATGATTTCGTAATTTAAAAGTCAAATTATGTGGATATTAACCTTTTAGATTCACTTTTTAAGGCTCTCTACTTCTTATTCCTTATAACACTACCCTATTATTAAAACCATTAACTACTTGTGAACAGTAATCTAATCTAGATCTACCTCTACCACCCCTAACTCCCGTTTCTGCCTTAAATATGTTTCTGACTAGACCTTCATGCCTAAGAAGGTGTCCTATACTTCGTTTAGTTTCCGTAGCGATGTGACCTTTACTTTGACCGGCGCAAAGTAGAAAAGAACAGCACTAGGCCAGAAAAGGAAGGAGACAACTTTATGCCAAACTCTTAACCGATGAGGAGCGAATATCCGTACAGTACCGCACGGAAAAGTTGACCATTTTATCCACTAAAATTGCATTGCTCAAATGTGCTGTTATTGGTACCATTTACTACTGAAAATATCAACAAGATGTTTATATATATTTGAAGACATATTAAAGGCTTTGACGCTTGTTTTCGACTCGCACTACTATTCATGATTGAACAAAACTTTTGGCAGGTACTGCATGAAAAAGTATGTTTAATGAACAACAGTCGAGTGTATAATGAGCTTTTTTCTCCCTACCTACGATTTTGCCAGCGCGCATCCAAGACGTTGGGGCACATCGCTAGAAAAAGTAAATGAAGTATACCAACCTATCTCGCTTATTCCTTATTGACTTCCATAGAGTCCTCTGTTCTCCTATTCTTTCTAGTATCTCTTCATTTCTAACCTTATCTATCCACGGTATCCTAATCATTCCAACGCTTCTAACCTTTTATTTTCCGCCGTTCCCACCTCTATGTTTCAGTTTTAGGGAAATGTAAAGATTAGCTGAGGATAGGAAAGAGTGGAGGTGTGTGTCCAACCAGTCTTAGGATTAACAACCTTATTGATGATAATGATGAATTGTAAAATACATTAATGTGAAAAGATTACATTATCGTTAGATATAGAATCTACAGTTACCTTTTTAACTATTTTTTTTATGATACACCTTGTCTATACAATTTTTAGTTAAATTATGAAAGTACTTTTTTATTCCACTAGTTTTATTCGATAATAAGCTCGAGTTCTTTATTCGAAAATAAAGCTTAGTTATATTTTTAGCTGATATAAAATGCTATGGATCGATAGGTATTATATGCCTATAATATCTACCTTAAATATGAAATATCCCCGAACATGAAAACGAAGTTAGCTGCAGCATAAAAATAACAAGCTTGCAGAGCTTTAACCAGGTTAAACTACCTATTTCGACTGCACTCCATTTAAATTATCTTCTACTTCTTTATGAATCAATTTGCAAGAAAATTGCATTTTCTATATTGTGATAACGGAACGCTGTACTTCAGTTTTATCAAACAATGGAGAACGAACACAAGCTGCTTATTCTTATTTATAAATAAATTGAATCGATGTTTTGATTTTAAAATTATTCTTGGTTTAAAAGGATCTAGTTTCATCGCAAAGCAGTCACTTTTTTATTCGACTCATATACGAGAATGCCTAAAGAAATGAAACTTGTTTATTTCAGAAAATACCATAAATGGCGCGGTAAACGCCATCTGTAGTATCATCAACTTGTTGGAGCATACGTAATCCTAAAATGTAGCATCGTACTACAGATGGCGTTTACCGCGCCATTTGTGGTATTATCTAAAACGCGCTCTTAAGACAGCAGGTAAAAGTTGGTCTGTGTTCTGTCGGAGCTGTCTGCGACGCGCTGATGAGATCCAAAAAGATCGAAATCGCGATCCGCGTCTGGCAGTTTCGACGGAATACAGACACTTCGAATTATTTTATTTGTTTATTTCATTTTTTTATTTAAGATAATACCTCTAAAACACCTTAAAAATTTTGTTCATGAGGTAATACATGATGTACTTCTCATAATGGTTTTCCGACATATTTCTTCCCGAAAATGCTTTCCCCTCAGGTCTTTTTCATAATGGGGAATAGTAAAAATTCCCGAATCATCAGGTGAGTAGGGAGCTGGAAATCCATGCAGTTTTGCGTCTCAAACCGGTTTCTTTTTTCAAAATTTCAATAAGATTTTCTTGTCATAAACTTCCTATGATTTGCTTCATTTCGCCAAGTCTTCTCAGACTGTGAAATATAAATATGATAGCACTTTTTGAACATTTTCATGTTCTGGGCTCTGGAGGGATAACCCAAAAGGGATAATTTTCTAAATACCACAAACTTTATAAATTTTTGTCTGGGTTAGAGCTTCCCATATACTTCCCGATACGTTAAAACAGTCTTTGACTCATTTTATATAGAAGGAAACAGAATCTGATATTGAGCTTCGATTCAAAAATGCAAGTAGTACCTTTTATAAGTACTTTCGTAAATAAAGTGTATAGGGGTGGCGACATTCCCCTGTTGCAGTCTATGTTATTAACTTGGCATATATTAAATTAACCTATCCTAGTCTTACCAGAAATATTGCCACCCAGGCGAGTCCAATATTGTCAAACGAAATTGTTCCCTCGAAAGGATTTTGTCCTCCTTCCAGACAGGCGGTGTAATATTGATTCCAATTGACACATCCGTCTCTGGCTTCGTAATGCGCCTGTTCGTAGGTGAGATTGCAGGTTATGTTGCCATCTTTATAAGGGGGCAGGTTGATACACTGGTGCATCCCCGCCGTGTCTCTCTTCGTACAGATGTATTCTAACTCGCTGGACAGCTTATAGTAATGAGATACTTCTCTGCAATAGAAAAAGAAATTTGCTTTTATTATTAATTAATTTATTAAGTGATGTTACGTTCAATGTTACTACAGTGCTATTTACTCTGTATTAATAGTAACGGATTTTCTTCAAATTGACGATCCAAATAATTGTCTTCAAAAGTTGCAATTGGGATTGGGATTAAAGAATCACGTAAAGTGAATAGGACAGGGTGGTGAGGTGATTTACTCACTAAGCCTTCCAGGGAAACCATCAAGGTTATAGTTATGGTTTTGATCATGAATACGGTGAAGGTGTGTCGGGTAGCTGTCTTCACCTACCCTGAGGGTGAATTAAGACGCCATATCGCCTCACCACCTTGTCCTACTCGCTTCTCGTGATTATTCAATTAGAATTCTAATTGAAATTATTTAAATTGACGATCCAAATAATTGTCTTCAGAAGATGCAATTAGGATTGGGATTAAGGAATCACGTAAAGAGAATAGGACAGGGTGGTGAGGCGATTTACTCACTAAGCCTTCCAGGGAAACCATCAAGGTTACAGTTACGGTTTTGATCATGAATACGGTGAAGGTGTATCGGGTAGCAGTCTTCACTTACCCTGAGGGTGAATAAAGACGCAATATCGCCTCACCACCTTGTCCTACTCGCTTCTCGTGATTATTCAATTAGAATTCTAATTGAAATTTCCTGATTATTACTGATAGAGCTATTTAAACAATCTCTAATTGACTCACTAGTCCAGTATGTATTACCTAGGTGTTAACTTCTTAATTTTAAATAAATAATTTAGTTGCATAGTGGCCTAAATAGAAATTTATTGATACTATCTAACAAAATAAACAAATTTGACAAAAAGAATCTGGAAAAGTATGCCACTTTAACTTATTTATTATTTATAATAGTGTAATTGTAAGATACTAGATTGCTGTGAAGCGATTAGGGTTTGTATGCTACAGTTTTGTTCATTTGGGATAATCTTTTCTTGGTTAATACCTTTTTTACGTATTTTCGTGTGAAAACGTTGTAAAGTATTTGCTTCGTTTTAGGAAGCGTATCAACTCTCGTCCGCTTTTAATCCCCGCCATTGTTACGTGTTTTTCTAATCCTTATACCGAGAGAACTACGTGCCTTGGTATAAAACTGCCATCGGCAAATGAAATTTCCTGGAGAGATTCCGTCGAAAACTGGGCAAGTCCTTTTTCGAGCTTACTCAGCCCTATTATGTCCACGTTCTGTAAATATTTGCTAACGAACCAACCGTTTTCGCGTCCAGGCCCAACAAAACAACCGCTAGAGCTGTTTGATACACGTCCATTGCAAAATAGGCACTTAGCTGCAGCGGGACGTGAAACAACAATGTTTTCTAAAAGCTATTCAAATACTTAAGTACCGTTGAATATTCTATAAGTTCCTATGCTGGGTGTTTGCAAAAAATGAACAGAGGGATGTTCTTGAGTTGCATGTGAATGAGGTTCCATGACTAATTTTACCACGAGGGGACGTCAATGTTTATCAATCATTTGCTTTAGAGTGATTCTTCTTTTCCTTATTTTAGTGTCCGACCGAAAGTTCGGTTTCGGTTTCGGTTTCGGTTGAGTTTCGGCAAAAAAACGAGTTTCGGTTTAGTTTCGGTTTCGACGGCAAACCTGCCGAAACTACGACCGAAACCGAAACTGCGTTCGGGAGTTCTTGCGCTCTGCTCGGTCATGTTCGGCGCGTTAAATTCCATCCAAGCGAGGTATTTTAAGTATTTTTAAGGTGCAATTAAAGTTTTTCCTTACATGAGGGGTTGTTATGTAATTATATATTGACCGTTCTGGTCCAACACCTTTCACCATCTTTCTGGTAGTAGCATAATTCCACGCTCATAAAATTTTTGGTCTTCGCTGGCAAAAAACTGATCGAGGAGGTTTTTGACCTCCTCATTTGAGGTGAAGGTTTTACCGTCTAAAAAATTTTGGAGTGACCGGAACAAATAATAATCCGATGGTGCCAGGTCTGGAGAATATGGTGGGTGTAGCATTGTATCCCATTCAAGCTGTAAAAGCTTTTGGCGAGTGACCAAACTTGTGTGAGGTCTCGCGTTGTCTTGGTGAAACACTACACCTTTCCTGTTGATTAGTTCTGACCTTTTCTGTTGAAGTGCATCATTCAGTTTGTCCAGCTGATGACAGTAGACTTCCGAATTAATCGTTGTGTTATCCGGTAAAAGCTCAAAAAAAACGATTCCTTTAAAATCCCACCAAACAGACAGCATCACCTTTTTTTGGTGAATATCGGCTTTGGAAATGGTTTGAGCCGGTTCATCTTTTTTGCTCCATGACCTCTTGCGTTTGACGTTGTTGTATACAACCCATTTTTCGTCCCCAGTGATGATGCGCTTCAAAAACGGATCATTTTCGTGACGTTTGAGAAGCGAATCGCAGACGTCAATGCGGCGACACAGATTTCTCTCTGTGAGAACATGGGGAACCCATACATCGAGCTTCGAGGATAATCCCAGGCCTTTCAAGTGGTCATAAACTGTTGAATTTGATAAATTTAACCTCAATCCGATCTCACGTGTTGTTATTCGCCGGTTCACATCAACTAATGCCTTTATCGCGTCTTTATCAGCTTCAACCGGCCTTCCCGAACGTGGTGCATCTTCGACATCAAAATTGCCGGATCGAAATTTAGCGAACCAGTTCTGGCACTGGCGTACTGTCAACACACCTTCTCCATACACATCAGTCAATTTCTTTCTGGCTTGAACAGCATTTTTACCCTTTCTGTAGTAAAACAGTAAGATATGTCGAAAATGCTGCTTATCGCTCTCCATATTTAAAAGGGCACCAACCAAAAACGAAATGACTTTCCGAACAACCCAATATTATACACGGCACCGTTGCCGTGCACGTCTACGGCAAAAAACCGTCTGTGTGAAATCAGGGTAAAACTAGAATATTGTTTCTAAAACCTTTATCTTCGAAACAAAACGGCTGAGGCAGAATATTTTTAGAGAGTGTTTGATTTGCCTTTTCAATTATGGGACATTTCGTCTAATATTTAACGCCAGATCTGCCTTATTTAACCCTAACCCTGTCGACTCCTTGAATAAAACCATATTAGAAAATAATTTGCGATTGGAAGACTCACAATTGGAAGCTTTCTATGGGGTTATTGTTTCGATAATCAAATTTCAATTAATTTTCTCTATAATATGGATATGTTACATATGTATACGTAACTTTGAATATAACTTAAATGTAGCAGTTCCCTCATAAATTTTGCAAGAATTTTCCAATTTGTAGAATACATTCATCTTCCACAATAGGGACATAATTGCTCCATTTGGAGAGATCTTAAGTTTCGTTTCTTTGTTCCATTTGCAAGCAGATTAGGTATTAAAGCCATTGTTGGGGGAAATAAAAAGTTCGTCCTCGTCCTATTCATATGTCTAGTATAAACATACAGCACACAGTATATGCATATTTCCATGTATTTGTTCGTTGACGCTGCATTGGTTGGTGGCAGAGCTGGTGCATTATACCCAAGACCAAGCATTGTTCTTGCTTTTTGCCTGTTCTCATCAACTCGGAATTATTAACGCACTGTGCACGGCTTTTGAGCTCGCACAATAATAAACTCTCTGCGTCTTATGCGCCTGCCGTAGTGTAAAATATTTAACAATAAGGGAAAGGGGGAGATTTTAGAAGCTGAAGAGAAATAGGAGGAATAGCGGAGTGACAGAGCGAAGTGTGAGGTTATGTAGAAAACACGTGTTGTTGTGAAGTACGATTTTAATGACCATGCTCAATCAGGGGTTCTTTAACGTATAGAAATCGATAATGTGAACAACTGTTAAGAATAAAATAATTCGAAATGGTCTGTATTCTGTCGAAACTGCCAGACGCGGATCGCCATTTCGATCTTTTTGGATCTCATCAGCGCGTCGCAGGCAGCCCGACAGAACACAGACCAAACCTTTACCGGATATGAAACTAATGGTGGACTA